AAGAAGGAGGAGAGATAAGGACGATAGACGTTTGATAGGAAAGAAGGAGGAGAGATAAGGATTAGGCTTGGGCAGAATTGAAAAAAATAGGACTTTCAAGTCTCAAGTCCTCAAACCTTGAGACCCGCAAGTCTCAAGCTCAATTTCAAGTCCAGGGGACGTAATAAAGTATACATGTAACATGAATAGTATTAGTCTCTTTGATAGTAAAGCCATCAGCATTACTTCCCTTTATCGTTATCATTATTTTGTTGTTCTCCAACCAACAACCTAGATCTAGATCTATGTTGAGATGTATGGAACATCTTTGTGATACTTGTTTGGTTGATTTTTTTTTTTTGATTTTTTTCTTCGTTTGTTTGTTTTTTGTACTGTTCTCTGTTGTATTAATAAACTCAGGAATTGCTTCAGCCTTGGATGGCAATGATGGCATTGAAGCCTTATCCGGGCCTAGGCCTGCCTACCCTTTATCGAGGAAGTGGACTCAACCAATACGCCAAGGGCGAGCAAATCCTAGCAAGTAATAGGGGTGGTACTGCCTACCCCTTATCGAAGAAATGGACTCAACCAATCCGCCTAGGACGAGCAAGTCCGAGCAAGTAGCAGGGGTGGTAGGTGTATTTGAATTCAAACAATCAAACTTAAAGCACTAAATTAACAAGAAACATGCCAGTTCTTAGCATTCCTTTAGACATTGGTTCACTGAGTCTTTACTCAATGTTTGTAGATCTACTGTGTGTTAAAATAATTGTATCTTTTGATTGAGGGATAGATCTATTTTGCTAGGCCACCCAAGACTTGGACTTGCTCAGTTCTAAAACTTGGTCTCAAACACTACTTGAAGGGCACAGGAATTTCAAGTCTCAAGTCCAAGTCCAAGTCCTGCCCAGGCCTAATAAGGATGATAGACGTTTGATAGGAAAGAAGGAGGACAGATAAAGTAAAGATTATAGATGTTTGCTAGGAAAGAAGGAGAAAACCACAGCAGAGCACCCACCAGCCACCCAGGCTATCATACTTGACATGATCACTTCACAAACTCACTCAATGGTCAGAAAAAGTTCACCACGGTCAAACGTTGGGTGACCCAGTTTCTGGACGGACCTATGAGCCAGCGTGACTCACGTGTCATGTCAGCTGTAGAGCCACTCTACACGTTACTCCACACGTTACTCCACACGTTACTCCACACGCTACTCCACCACACGTTACTCCACACGTTACTCCACACATTACACCACACGTTACTCCACACGTTACTCCACACGTTACTCCACACGTTACTCCGCACGTTACTCCACACATTACTCCACACTCCAGCCTTTGGTTGTAACTCCCGACATACCGTGATGACCATACGCTACAAAAACAACCTGACAGATTCTAGGGAAGGACTTTCTCTACAATATCAACAAAAACTTACTTTGTCCTGCCGAGCCGAGGAAATATCTGGTGGCCAGGCCTCCGAGCCAAACGTCAGGGGAAGCGACTGCGGCCGGTTCTCGCGCCAGTAGCACCATGAGGCGGGCGGCCAGGTCTGCCGAGATTGTCTGGCATGGCACCGAGGGCGACCACAGCCCGGGCTCATCTGGGGAGCAAGGTCAATGGCAGTAGAGGGACGTCCAAGGTATTTATAGCAACAGACAGTCGCAGTGTGACGACACAGCCCAAACTCTGGGACGTACAGGGTATTTATAGCAACAGGTTGTTTGATAAATGGTGAGGTCGTTCGATGAATGGTGAGGTCATTTTGAAAACCACAAAACCGTGTAAATACATGGGTAGAGATGCACTTCTTGTACGGAATAAAAATAATGACAGCTAACACATTCATTCTTAGTTTTTGTGTCGGAAATATGCGCGGACACTTAAGAATGTAAAGAAATCAGAACATTGTCCGTTACTGCAAATGGTCATAGCAACAAAAATTAAAGCTGGAAAAGTCTGGTGCTGATTCAGTGTCCCTGGAAAGCTAGAAATTATTCTTATAACACAATTACGAGAAGTCATCCCTATTATTCAGTCAACTTACAAAACCTAGACTTAGCGTTTTAAGAAAAGTAAGGAATTTCTGGAGTGTAACAAATACTGTTGGTGTGTTGCATTGTAGAGTTATTCTGGCACTAAATTCGATTGGTACTTTTTAAAAAGAAATATTCCCGATTATGTTAGACACATAAAGTTGTGTTTGGAGGAATTACTTCATAGCAAATTGTGCGCCAGATGGATAAAGTTGTAAAATTACAGCTTTCTATTATATGCGCAGATACCATCTTTTCTGAGTGTCTGCACCAATGCTATGTCGTTCATGCTCCAAAAGTTCGACAGTTTTTGTTGTGGCGGGCTTTTTTTATATTAATTTTTTTTCATTCACACATGTCCAAAAATTTTCACAATTTAGCATTGCCGACTCCAGCGCGTCGAACGAAATAACCAGACAAGTTACAACGTTTGTTCTTTTTCAGTCTCAACAGCAGAAGCTTCAACAAAGTTTTTTTTTTTTCTCAGAATGTCACAGCACTAGAAACCAGACAAAGTGGCAACCCACAGTGTTTGTCAGCAGTACTGTTTTACCTGGCGTGTACATGGTGGTCCTCACTGTCTTACCAGGCGCGTGTCTTACCTGGCACATACATGGTGGCCGTCTCTGTCTTACCTGGCACATACATGGTGGCCGTCACTGTCTTACCTGGCGTGTACATGGTGGCCGTCACTGTCTTACCTGGCACATACATGGTGGCCGTCACTGTCTTGCCTGACACATACATGGTGGCCGTCACTGTCTTACCTGGCACATACATGGTGGCCGTCACTGTCTTGCCTGACACATACATGGTGGCCGTCACTGTCTTACCTGGCACATACATGGTGGCCGT